TTTCAATGTAAATTCACAGAATAAACTAATGTTAGAGTTACTAAAAATCTTTGAAGGCCCTCTCTTTTCTCAGAAAAAGTATCTGAGCCATCCAGAGGGGGAAAATGCTTTCCATTTAAAGAGCAGTAGAAAAGTCACCCATTAGCCTTCCATTGTTTTCCCTTCCACTTGAAATCCCCGTGTTTGAATTTGAGAGCCAGAATCAGCCTTATCAGCCCCCTAAACCAACAACGATCTCTGAAGATCTCCAAGGAGAGGGAGCCATCACCTCCCAGCCCCTTTGGGACATCTTTCATCGTGTTTGTCACCATATCCAAGTTAAAGTTTCTTCTTTGTAACTTTCATTCGTTGTTTCTCATTATGTCCTCTAGTGTCTATCAAATGACCAACGAGCATTTTTAAATAAACTTTTATTGATGGGTTTTATTTTACCTCCTCCTAGTTTCTTCCAGTAGCCCTCTCTGTCTCCATCCCATACAACAGGCAGTATTGTTAAAGAAAAAAAAAGAAGGAAAAAATCAGCATAACTGATCAATATATTGAAAATATCTGGGGGCAGCTAGGTGGCAAAGTGGATAGAGCACCAGCCCTGAAGTCAGGAGGACCTGAGTTCAATTCCAGCCTCAGACCAAACACTTGACACTTACTAGCTGTGTGATCCTGGGCAAGTCACTTAACCCCAATTGCCTTAACAAAAGAAAAAAGAAAAAAAAAAGAAAATATCTGAAAACACATGTGGTATGTAATATCCCTGGACCTGTCACCTCCGTGAAGTGGGCCTTCCATGTGCCAAAGGAAAGTCATTTTTAAAGCGAAGGAAACCTGCCTCTGACAGGTACTGATGGTGTGACCTTGAGCAAGTTTTTCAGCAAGCATCCCCAGGCAACTCTAAGGCTCTAAGCTGCTAAGTGAATGCAGAACTGTATTGATTGAAGGCATTTCCTCCCTGGGAGATCACTGTACCAATGAAATCACATGTACCAGGCCTTATACCAAGCCCAGGAGACACCAAGAAACAAATGAAATAATCCCTGACTTCATGAAGCTTACATTCTTTCAAAGAAGCAGAGTCTGAAGACCCTGAGAGGTCTTCAGATGTCTGATGACAAAAATAAAATCTACTCTGCCCCCAGTTCCTTAGCTTTATTTCTCCCATTAATGTGGCATAGTTGCCTGCCTCTGAACATAGTCCTCCATCTCTGTCCCCTTCCCTGCTGCCCAGATCTCCCCATCTCTAAAAAACCACTACTGAACCCTGCCATGTCCTCAAGCCATCATCCTACATATCTCTCTTCCCTTTCACATTCAAACTCCTTGAAAGCTGTTCACACTTGTTGCCTCTACTTCCTCAATTTCCACTTATATTTCTGCCTCTTATGATCTGACTTGTGCCCCATCACTTAACTGAAGTTGCTCTTTCCAAAGTCACCAACGATGATGGCTTTTTCTCAATCCGCAGCCTTCTCAACCTTTCTTCCATCTTTGACACTTTGGGTTAGACCTTGCTCCAGAAACTTTCTTCCCTGGGTTTGCATGACACTGGGCTCCTTACTGTTCCTCCCACATGATTCTCCATATCCCAGTTCCAAGTTTTTTTCCCTATCTGTGCCCTATACATAGAACGCTCTCCCTCCTCACCTCTGCCTCCTGGATTCCCTGTCTTCTTTCAAGCCTCAGCTTAAATTCCATCTCTGTAGGAAGCCTTTTCCATTCTCCCCATACTCCTGTCCCCCTACCCAATACTACTAGTTTCTTCCCTTTGAGAACACCTTCCACTTATACTGAATATGCCTTACATGCATATAGGTATTTATAAATTGCCCCTAATTAGAATTTGAGCTCCTTGAGAGTAAACTGTGTTTTTGCCTTTCTTTGTATTCCCAGAGTAATCTCTGGGAATCCCAGAGTAAACTATGCACAGTGCCTGGCATATAGTAAGCACTTAATAAATGGTTGTTGATGTTGATGATGATGATGATGATGATAGGAGACAGAAAAAAGGGCTAAGAGAACTTATTTGCTGAGACTATTAAGTTTAACCCTTATCTGGTGAAGAAACATGAAGAAAATTCTTTGAGAACAGACTTTAATTGGTATTCTGAGAAGACTGAATGGTGGGACTGTGGTTCCAGAATTGAGGAGGTCAGCAGTTGCAGTGATAATTAGAAGTGACTTTTTACTTAAATCATTCTCACAACTGATACATTGTAAATAATTATTCAAGTTTTATTTCATTGTTTGTTATATTATTAATAAATAGCGCATGTAATCTGTAACCTTTTTGTTTACTTAAGCCTAGGAAACTAGGAAATTTGATATATAGAAAAAATGAGCAAGTATTTATGAGAAAAGAGGTTTCTCTAGTTTATTAAATAAATTGGGGTAGGGACAGATATTTAATTGATTAATTAATGAGAGTGATGTTGCAGTTTTAGCACTTGGCATGGAAAATCAGAACAATAGTTTTTGATTTACTTAGAACCCAGGATAAGAATGAAAAAAGAAAATAAGTTAGTACCAGATAGAAAGAAAAGTGATCATTCACCTAGACTACATATAAGGCTTAACCCCAAAACCCTACCACATAAATGCAAGATAATTTGAGGGAGAAGAAAACATAATTCCAAGGATCAGAGAAAGTTTTATTGGAACAGTGGAAGCTGAAGGATGATGAATTGAAGAAGCAGAGAAGAGAACATATTCCAGATATAAGGGGTGGGGAGAAGCAAATGCATAGAGAGAAGAGATGGCATGATAAGTTCAAGGATCAGTTAGCAATCCAGTGTGGCTAGGTTCTGGATAACAGAGGTGTAATCACAACAGGCCAACCTAGACGTGATCCCAGGGCCATGAGTTTCCTCCCCAAAGTGGTCAGGAGACTGCCATATGCATGCTCATGCCTAAAAGGGGTATCATTGTGCTCTCCCACCCAACTCTAAGAAATCATTCCCACTATGGTATCCCACTCCTGGATGCTCCTTTACCCTGCCTCCCGTGGGGACATGAGTTGGACCCTGGAGAATGAACTGCCTCCTTTCCCAGAATGACTGTATTCAAGGTTTAACTGTCCCTTCCTTCACCACTGCCCTTGCCTCCCTGCTGCCAGACTGTCCTCAGCACACCCATCCCATCACAATCACAATTGGGCTGGTTTTGCTTCATGGTGAAAAGATTCCCAGTTACAGTTCAGCAGGAAAGGGAATAATGTGAAATAAGTCTGAAAAGGTAGTTAAAAGACAGTTTAAGGAGGGCCTTAAATATCTGCCTGAGCAGTTTGCATTTTGTCCTAAAGACAGTGGAGAGCTATAGGATGTTTTTGAGCTGGGGAGGTGGTCAGACCTTTAAGATTATTTTGGCAGCTGTTGGGGGGCATGGAGGTAAGAGAAATAGGGAAATAGGGAGCCCAATTAGTACGACAATTCTGATGAAAGATCATAAGGACCTTTTGTGGTTGTATGAATGAAGAGGAGGAGTGGACAGATTTGAGAGATGTTGGGGGGCAGTCAACAAGATTTGGCAACTGATTGGATTTGGGGGTGGAGAGGAGGAAGGGAGGAGTCAAGAATCACTCCCAAGATTGAGAATAACAATGAATCATTTCTGAGTCATGTGGCAGTCACAGTGCCCGTGGCCCCCAGGGGAGAAGATTGTCTCCCCCATAACCCTGGCACCATGTAGACGCTGACTGTTCCCTGTGCACCTCTCTAGATGCTTACCCTTGTGGAGTCAGGCAGTAAAGTGTTTGCCCACCAGGTCCATGTTCTAGGCTGGAGGGCCAGGTGAGGGCTTTCAAAGAGACTTCCTAAGAGGAGGGGCAAACAGGTGACGGTGTGCTGAGAGGGATGGAAGTGAAGAAAAAGGACCATCAAAGGAACACAGAAATTAGCTCAGAAAGGGAGCTTTGAAGGTTATCCAGCCCAATTCCCTCAGTTTGCATCTACAGAAAATGAGGCTCAGAGATTAAGTGACTTGGCCAAGATCACACAGCCAAGATTTCAACTCGGGGCCTCTGACTCCAAACCCAATGTGCTTTCTGCTCTAATGGTTCATATGGATAATTCTTGAAGGTTTGCAAGGTGCTTTACAGACACCCTCTCCCTTGTGGGAAAGGACTCCTCTCCCCCAGAATGTAGCTCCTTCCCCCCAGAGAGGGGCTTCACAGGGCCAGCTCCCCACAATTGGAGGCTCCAAGCCCAGTGTCACCCACTCCCCTTTAATGATGGCCACTTCTTATGTAAGCTCTCTAGGCTTCAGTTTTCTCATCTGCAAAATGAGGGGGTTGGACTCAGTGACCTCTAGCGTGCCTTTTGGCTTTGAATCTATGATCCTCTCCCACCCTCGGTACTCAGCTTCCCCTGAGAGTGAGGACAGGAGCTGAACCATGGGGTTAGGAAACAAATAGAGTTGAGGAAGCCACTGCTGTTCAGTCATTTTTCAGTTGTGTCTGACTCTTTGTGACCCCATGTGGAGTTTTATTGGCAAAGATACTGGAGGGGTTTGTCATTTCCTTCTCCAGCTCATTTTACAGATGAAGAAACTAAGGCAAACAGGGTTAAGTGACTTGCCCAGGGTCACACAACTAGTTTCTGAGGCCAGATTTGAACTCAGGAAGATGAGTCTTCTTGGTTCCAGGTCCTTTGTGCTATCCACTGCAGCACCACCTAGTGGCCCCAAAATGAATAACTAGAGATGGGGGAAGAAGTCAAGTGGTAATAAGTGGGAAGGGTGGGAAGGGTGGGAAATCTGAGAAGAGGGTAGAGGTGTGGGGACTGAAGGAGTCAGTTTCTATAGGAAATTGGTAAATATCAAAGACCTTGAGAGCTTTCTAAGGGGAAGACAAATATCTGGGATCTTGATCTCATCTCCTTCCATCTTGTTTCCTCCTCCTCCTCTCTCCTCCTCCTCCTCTCTCCTCCTCCTCTCTCTCCCTCCTCCTCTTCCTCTTTTCCTCCTTTCCTCCTCCTCCTCTCCACTGCCCTGGACCTCCAAGTGCCTTTTCCTCAGCTCAGCAACCTGACTGTAGCTTCAGCCCGCCTCCCCAGGGCTCACTCTAACCTGCCACCTTTGCCTCCGCTCCACCATGATGCCCACGCCCCCAACTATAAATGCTGTAGCCAGGACTCCTGAGTGACAAACCTTGCTGGGACATCTACCATGGCTATAGCTGGAACCCTGCCGCTGCTGCTGCTGCTGCTGCTGCTGCCTCTCTCCAGCCTCAGTCCTGGTGAGCCAATCCCCTCAACCCCAAGAGAGAAACAGTTTGGGCTCTCAGCTCCAGTGTAGTAGAAAGATCAATGGCTCTGGAGTCAAAGGGCCTGGGTTCCAGGGATTCCCCACTTCTGATGCTTACCACCTGGGTGACCTTGGTTGAGACAAAACCCTGGGCCTCAAAATGGAGTAAACTAGATGCCTCTGAGGCCCCTTCCAACTTATTATCTATTATCCTTCTTCTACCTCCTGCTCTTACAGAGTAGGGGCCAGGGTGAAAGTCTAAGCCCAGTCAATGGAGAGTAAAAATTGGAAGAGATTGGGAGAAATCATCCCTCTGAAAACCCTCCAGGGAGATTCATAGGGAATGAGAAGTGGGGGTGGGAATAAGGGAGAGATTATGCCTGTATAAATATTCAGGAAGGTTCTTTGATTCTAAAAAAAAAAAATTCACAAGTAAAAAATTAGTAAAGCATGGTTAGAGAGCATTTCATCTGAAAAAGATCTGGAGTGGGGATTTGGTAGACCACAAGCTCAAGATAAGCCAACAGGGTAATACGGTGGCCAAAAAAAATCACATGATTTGGGTCTAAATTAAGAGATGGAAAGCTCCCAGGAATAAGGAGGTGATTATCATCCTGCAATCCTCTCCACTTGCTCTCATCTCCCTCCATCTCGTTTCCAAGTAAGAACATACCTGGAGTATCAAGTTCAGTGCTGGGCGACATAGTCTAGGAAAGACACAGATAAATTGAAGAGTGAAAAAGAGGTCAACAAGGAGAGTGAAGGTTCCCTATTGGATTGAGGGGTAGAGAGGGGGTAGATCATCTTATGAAAACTGGATGAAGGAACTGGGGGTATTTAGCTTAAAAAAGAAGGCTCAGAGACGCCCAATAACTGTCTTCAAAGTATGTGAAGGGCTGGCATCTGGAAGAGGAAACAGGCTTGCCTAGGAGGGACAAAAATAAGCTGGATAATGTCCAAGGGAGGCACCCAGGCTGTAGAAGGGCCATGCGGGCATCAGTCAAGGAGTCTGTGGTCCGTGATCACCATCTTCAAGAAGATGAAGGGCTGTATTGTGGGAGAAAGACTCCACTAGTTCTGCATGGTCCCAGAGGGAAGAACCAGGAACAATGGATGGAAGCTGAAAAGGAGTGAGTTTAGGTTTGACATCAGGAAAAAAGTTTCTAGCAATTAGTATGGTCTAGAGAAAGTGAGAGGTAATGAGCTCCCTGTCACTGACTGTCATCCAACAAGTTGGATGATCACTTGTCAGGGATGTTGTGCTGGGTGGGGGGAGGGGGCTCTTTTCCAGATACAGATTCAACTAGACTAGTATGGGTCAGACTAAGTTCGGGGAAGACTCCTTCCCACTCTAATTCTGTGGTTCTGTGGAGGCTGGCAATGGCGAGCCAGGCAGCTGTGCTCTCCAAGTGAGGAAATTGGTTTGGGTCCTCAGCTGCGGCCGCTCGAATCCCCACATTACCACCTTGTGCCCAAGATGCTGAGTTCCAGTGTCAGGACATAGAGACAGCTATTCGCTGTGGAGCCTTGGGTCACTGCCTCCGGAAGGTCTGGGGACAAGCTAACGCAGTGAGTACCAGTTCACTGGGCATGGGAAAGGATTCCCAAGGGGTGTGTGTGAGAAACTGGGTCCCAGAGATGTAACAGAGAGAGTAGAGTCTCCAAAGAATAAGAAGAAGGAAAGGAGGGGACAGTCCCACAGCTGCAAGTCCCTAAGGTTATCTATTTATATGTATCCCAAACATACCTATATATGTACATGCCATCTCCCTTATTAGAATGTAAGCTTCTTGAGGGCAGGAAATGTGTTCTTACATTTTTGTATCCCCAGAGCTTATCGATGTGATTGGCACACAGTAAGTTCTTAATAAAGATCTGTTGATTCCTTGATTGATGGGAACCTAGCTGTCAGTTCAGTTTAATTCAACAAACGTGTTAAGGTGGTACAGTGGATAGAGCACCGGCTCTGGAGTCAGGAAGCCCTGAGTTCAAATCTGGCCTCAGACACTTGATACTTACTAGCTGTGTGACTCTGAGCAAGTCACTTAACCCCAACTACCTGGGGGGAAGAAGAAAAAAATACGTGTTAAGCACCTACTATAGACCAGGCATCGTGATAAGCCCATGGAATAAAAAGATAAAAATGAAACTATCCCTATCCTTAAAGGAGTTTACCACTTTAACCTCTCTAATCAATCAATAAACATAAATTAAGTGCCAACTGTGTGCCAGGCACTGTGCTAAGCAATGAGGATACAAAAAGGGGCAAAAGACAGTTTCTGCCCTCAAGGAGCTTATAATCTAATAGAGGAAACAACATACAAACAATTATATACAGAGCAAGCTATATATAGGATAAACAGAAAATAATTAACACAGGCAAGGGACTAGAATTGAGAGAGGATGGGGAAGGCTTTGAGTAAAGGAAGAGATTTTAGTTGGGACTTAAACGAAGGTAGTGAGGTCAGTAGGCAGAGTGGAGGAGAGAGAGTATTCCAGACATGGGGGAGAGCCAGAGAAAATGGCCAAAGCTGAGAGATGGAGGGTCTTGTGCTCCATGAAAAAGGTTTTGCCTCCATCATCATTGAGAGTCTTTGACCCTAAGAGGAATTCTTCTTTCCCTGACCCCACTCCATTCCTCTTTCTCAGGATGATCTATGCCAGGAGTGCGAGGGCATTGTGACCATTCTCACCAAGATGGCTAAAGAGACACTTTTCAAGGTACTGAAATCCCTCCTATCCTGGGGTGGTGGGGGGGAGGGAAAGGGGGTAATGGTGCCTGGAAGTCAACAGGAATGGCACAGAGAGGGAGCAGGACAGGATTCGGGCAGCACAGAGAGGGGTACAAGGACTCTGAACAGAAGCTCCAGACAAAGAAACTACAGCGTCACCAGGTGCATCACAAGACCACAAAGAGCCCTGAATTAGTTCACTGGGTTCCGTCCCTGAGGGGTGTCCATCTTTGATTTGTCCCACCCCATACCATGGTCTGATGTTTCTCCCTCCAGCTCTCCACCCCCGGCTATCCAACTGGATTCTCCCATGTCACCTCCTTCCTCTAGTCTCCCTATGGGAGTCTCCTTTGGACCTTTCTCCCCTGAGTCTTCCTTGGCCCCTGCTTCCCAGACTCTCTCATAATCCTGCATTTTCTCTCTAGAAAACCATTCAGCACTTCCTGGAGGAAGAATGCTCCAAATTTCCAGTGAGGCTTATGATCCCAAATTGCCAGCACATAGTGGATGAGTACTTGTCTCTCCTCATCACGCACTTCCAGGGACAGATTGTAAGTTACCCTTCACTCCCAACCCCCCCGCCACACACACACATATAGGACTTCACCTTAGATTAAGTTCTGTGTAATGTTCTTTAGTTGGGTGGGATTTCCCACCCAGGATCAAAAAGAAATCTTATCTATCAACAATGTCCTTCAGTTCAATGTCCTGAACAATGTAAAGGTCCTAATTAAATAACTGATTATTAATATAAGAGAGAAATAATCATTTATTTCAATACTCAGTGCTCTCCCTAAATCATGCACATACCACACTCATTGTACACACACACACTGGGATTCACATACATAAACAGAAAGCATTCACCCTACATATATACACAGATACCTATCCCATGCATGCATAGAACATTCACCCAACAAATATAGGGTACCCATTCCACATATAGAATATTACATATTTTACAGATATTACATATTTCTTTTACATGCTATGTATACCTGAATATGTATTTACATGTATATATTATGTTTATTGCTTATATACATATGTAACTATTGCATGTTTACACGTTGTACACATAGAATATTCATTCTATTGTCACACACAGAGCACTTACCCTTTGTACACATACAGAGTACCCACACACATACAGTTACCCATACACACACCTCTTAGCTCCCACACACAGTACACCCTTTCCAAATACACAAGCTCAGACTTATATGCATGGGCTCATCACCATAGCCTCAATGACTCCCCCCAAACCCATACATTTTCTCTGCCCTCAATGAGTGCCCATCACTCTACATGGTCCTATAGATACTTCCATTCATAAAACTTCTGATTCCTCTTCATCCAGGACTGAGTTGAGACCCGGGATTTCCCCTCTTCCCTGGTTGCCATCTCCTCTCCTGATGCCTTGTGTTGTTTCTCAACAGCCAAAGAGGATATGTAGGAGTCTAGGTCTGTGTGAAGACAAGGTCCCACTCTCAGCATGGGAGCCAGGATCTCAGGATCTCTCAGAGAAGCTGGTCCCAGCATTTCTGGAGAACTTCCCAGGGAGACCCGGGGCTCACACCCAGGTGAGCTGCCTCCCCTTAATGACCCTGTTGGCTACTGGCCTCATCTGAGCACTCTTCCCTCAGAGAACAAAGCAGGAGCCTGGTGGAGAGGGGAGAGAGGAGCACCTTTCTGGGGATGGTAGAGGGGGCCAGGTCACCCAGGCCAGAAGCTGGATGATTTTCTAATCAAGTGTTCCTTGAACGAATCATGGCATCCTAAAAGCTGAGATCCTTAGATCTCAACATGGCACTAGAAACCAGATACCCCAAAATACAGGCTTCATTTTGATGCCTATTTTCTGTGTAACAACCTCGCAGAGTCTCAGCTTACCTGGAAAACTACCTGCCTGGGCTAGGAGGGTATTGTGAGGCCAGCACTTTGGAGGCCTTAAGGCACTTTATAAATATCAGCTAACATTATTTTAAAGTCCAGTCTCCTCATTTGGCAGAGAAGGAAACTGAGGCAAAAAGAGGTACAGTGAATCGTCCGAGATCACACAGCTAGGCAGTGGCACAATCACCGGTGGCTGAGTCCTCAGTCCAGTGTTCACTACATGGCATCCACTCCCTTAGAATCAGGTTCATTGATAGGATGTGGCCCAGAAGAAAAGTGAGCCTAGCACATTCCCAGCGCCATGTCTAAACTCCAGTCATGCATGGGACTCCCATATGGCCACAGTTATTCCACACTTATGTATGTGCTCACCCTTAAAAAGCCTCTCCACATGATATGCTGGAAAGATCTTATTGCCCAGTGATCCATCAGTGCAAGGCCATTTTTCTGCTTAATAATAGCCTAAAGAAATGACTCATATAAACATGGAGAGGACAGATTCTGTGATGTTATTAGCTCATTTGGTCAAGGAGATCAGCAAAAGGGATTTAGGTTAGACCAAAGGAGAAGTTTCCTGATGGAAAAGAGTAAGACACTGGTTTAGGTGAGGAAAGGCCAGAAGAAATCATCTACTCTGTGGGACAATATCCATCCATATATACATTGGGAATAGAGATGGAACCCAAGTTGGTTATCTGACTGATACCTTGTGAACCAATTCTGTTAAACAGAATGGGGGGGGAGAGAAAGGAGAGAGAGAGGGAGAAGGAGAGGGAGAGGAGAGTGGGGGGAGAGAGAGAGAGAGAGAGAGAAACTCTTGACTATATAAAGGCTTTGGGTATCCCAGGCTCTCCCTGTCCTCCAACAGTGCTAACAGTAGAGTTTAAACGTCTTGAGGGCAGGGATGAATTTTCATTTTGTCTTTTTATCACCAGCGTTTAATGTTCAAAAATCAATCAAGCATTTATCAAACAGTTACTAAGTGCCAGGCATTGTAGTAGGTGCAGGTGATGAAAATACAAGAAATAAAGCAGTTTTTGCCCTCAGGGAGCTGACACTCCATCCAAGGAGACAATACATTCAGAAATCTGCACGTCCAAAATAAATACAAGGCAATTTGCAGGAGGAAAAGACCCTAGAAACTGGGGGCTCCAGGGAAAGCTTCATGACCAGGTGGTGCTTGCACTGAGCTTTGAAAGGAATAAGAGATGCTTTTCTGAGGAAAAGGTCAGGAGGGAGGGCATTCCAGGCATGGAACACAGCCTGTGCAAATGCATGGAGATAAGAAACAGTGTTGTGTATAAGAACAGCAAGAACCAGAGACTGGCTGGACCAAAGGGTTCAGGAAGAAGAAGAATGTATAAGAAGATTGGAGAAGCACTTGGAGCCAGGTTGTGGAGGGCTTTAGATGTCAAACAGAGCATTGTGCTTTGTACACAGTAGGCATTTAATAAATGCTTGTTGATTGAACTGTTTCTGAACAACACAGAGGCCCCTCAGCTACAGGAGTTAGCCAGAGCTCTGTCCAAGGTTCTGGCCCTACTCCAGTCCTCTGCCAGGCTGCCAGGGAGGGAGTGTGAGCCACACGGTCCCAGGTCGTGGAAACACTTGGTGGAGCGTCAGAGAAGGAACAAGAGGCGGCTCCAGAGTTGGCTGGGAGACTCAGAGAAGTCGGTGAGCTGGTGGAGAGGAAGGAAAGGATTCCACAGTCTCAGAACCGGGAGGGACCTCAAAAGTCATCCAGTCTAACTCATAACTGAAAAACAGGATCTCTAAGGGGCAGCTAGGTGGCACAGTGGATGGAGCACCGGCCCTGAAGTCATGAGGACCCGAGTTCAAATCCGGCCTCAGACCAAACACTTGACATTTACTAGCTGTGTGACCCTGGGCAAGTCACTTAACCCCAATTGCCTAAAAAAGAAGAAAAGAAAAGAAGAAAAAAGGATCTCTAGATCATTATCTAGACAAGTGGTACTCACCCTCTGCTTGAAGACCTCTGGTGACAGGGCACTCGCTCCCTCCTAAGGCGGCCCACTCCCTTTCTGGATGACTCTCACAGGCAGGGAGGTAGTCCTCGACAAGAAACCTAACCCTTCGTCTTTGCAACCTTCTCCCGGTATCGCTGGTTCTCTTCTCCAGGGCCCAAGCAGAGCAAGCCTGGACCCTCTTTCAACACTTAGCACAGTGACTGGCACATAGTAGGTGCTTAATAAATACTTATCGCTTGATCTATTTCACAGCCCTTCAGATACTTGAATACAGCTAAATCCTAAGGCTAGGATTAATACTGTCTCCTTCTGGAGTTAGAAAAAGACAGAAGACACAGGTTTAGGTCCAACTGGTATAATTAAGGGAGATGGAGAATACAAATTCTGGAGAAATAGGGAGAAGAGAGGGTAGGAAGAGGGAAGAGTGAGGGCCAGAGAGTTCCTGGTTGCTGGAAGAGAAGGTGTGATGTTGGGAAGGCAGGGGCCAGAAGCCAGGTCTCTTCACTGATCATGCCCTTCTCTGTGTGGCTTTCTTCCTCTAGACCCTCATGGAACAGAAGTTCCCCATCCCGCTTCCTTTCTGTTGGATCTGCCGAACCTTACTTAACAAAGTTCAATCTGTGATCCCCAAGGTGAGGCCGTGAGGCTGCCCCTCTTCAGACTACCTTTCCCAGTCTAGAAGACGTTGCATCTTGCCTCTTCCAGGCCTTCCCTGGTTCCCCAGCTGGCCTACTCCAGGCCTGCAGATGCCAGATCATAGGTATCTTGGTTTCTGGCCCTATCTCCATCCCCACGAGGAGGCTCAGTTCACCTGCAAGTGGAGTCTGGGTGGGGATGGGCCTTTGTCTGACCCCTTCCGGTGCTGATGGACATATTTGGTCGCATACTTCCTTAGCAAGGGACCAGAATACACATGGCCCGCCAGAAAGGACCAGGTTCAGGCCCGTTCCTGATGGTGTCCCATAGGATAATTCCCAATACACTCAGTTATAGAGCCTCACCTCCACCCTTCATTCTTCTCCATCAGTCTGTGCTGGCAGTGGCTGTTGCTCAGGTATGCCACATCGTGCCCCTGGTGGCGGGTGGCATCTGCCAGTGCCTGGCTGAGCGCTACACCGTCATCCTGGTGGATGCACTGATGAGCCGTGTTTTACCCCAGCTGGTCTGCGGCCTCATCCTTCGATGCTCCACTGAAGAGGGCTCCAACCTAGGTGAGCCACAGCTGGCAAGTTGCTCTTTGTGCATCTCCTTTCTCCACTTCCCATGTCCATTTGTCCCTCTTCCCAGCCCCTGCACCCTATCCTGCGTGTCTCCCCTCTGGTTTGGCCTCTCTCCTCCCATCCACCTCATCTCTGCAGATCATGTCATTTCAGGACTTCTCCCAAACCAGTGGACACCCTCAGACCCAGACTGCCACCTCTGCGTCTCAGTGACCAGCTGGGCATCATCACAACTGCCAGCGAACAGCACTGAGAGAGACATAGAGAAGACACTGGTCAGCATCTGCAACAACCCCCAGCTGGACTGGCAGGAGGTGAGGGGGCTGGGCTCCCTCCATCCAAGACCTTCAGGATCTGTTCACATCTCCTGTCCCAGGAATAATAGTAGCGAGTCCTGACATATCTATTGCTTTCATATTTACAAAACACTTGACACAGATGTTACCTCATTTGGTCCTCACCACACAGGTAGGTGCTATTATTAACCCCATTTGACAGATGAGAAAACTGAGGCCCCAGGAGGTGAAGTGATTTGGTTCCAAAGTCCTTCAAATAGAAAGCGTTAAAGGTAGATTTGAACCTATCCCAGAATCACTAGCACAGGATATGCCTCCACCATCCTGTGTCCCATGGTTCTCTGCTACGGGCGTGGTGATCTTGTCTCCACAACTGGAATGTGAGCTCCCTGAAGGCAGGATCTGAAGCACCTACATTAGCACATTTCAGCTAGCTGGGAGAGAAACAGTCTTGGGTTCAGCAGGAGAGGACCGTATAAAAATTCTTAAGAAATTGCCTTTTCAGGGCCGCTAGGTGGCGCAGTGGATAGAGCACCGGCCCTGGAGTCAAGACGACCTGAGTTCAAATATGACCTCAGACACTTACTGGCTGTGTGTGACCCTAAACAAGTCACTTAACCCTGAGAAGGAAGGAAGGAAGAAAGAGAGAGAGAGAGAGAAAGAGAGAGAGAGAGAGAGAGGGGAGGGAAGGAAAGAAGAAAGGAAGGAAAAGAAAAAGAAAGAAATTTGCTCTTCGAATTCTTTGTTATAAGGGATGGCTCTCTTGAAGAGGGCTGGAGGGAAAGGAAGATCCAGAGGGAAATACAGGTGATACAAAAACATTATCAATAAAAATTGATTTTTATAAAAAGATATAACCTCTCACTACTTAGCCTTACAATCCTGGAGAGATAAGACGTATAGAAGACTATAATAAAATGTAAGGTTTTATTTGATACTTACTAGCTATATGACCCTGGATAAGTCACTAATTGTCTATCTGCCTCAGTTTCCTTATCTGTAAAATGAGGACAATAATAACACCCACCTCTCAGGGTTGTGGTGAGGATAAAATGAGACAGTATTCACATAGCACTTTGAACACCTTAAAGCATTATAGAAACACTAGCTGTTATCCTAGAAACAGTAGGGGACATGGAATTTCTCAGCTGAGAGTGACATGCCATTTGTCAGCTGCGTAAAATGTAAAATATAAAACGGGGATGGGCAAGACCAGATGATCTCTAAGGTCCCTTCCCACTCTGAATCCTATGGTCTCCACAGCGCAGGTCCAACATGTAACCTTATAACACGCTGTAGGGCCCAATGCACACAGTAAGTATTTTGTTATCTTGATAACAAGGTGGATAGTGGGGCTGGAGAGACAGAGCAGCCATTCTGTGGGAGTCAGGACCCTGGCTGGGTGAAGGAAGGAAGGCTCATTTCCCCAGCCTCTGGTCAGTCTTTACATTTTGTGTGTGTGTGTGTGTGTGTGTGTGTGTGTGTGTGTGTGCTGCCCTCACAGTGCCAAGGTTTGGTGGAACAATTCTACCCCTCACTATTGTCGTTGCTGCCCCACGGCCGAAATCCCCACGTCATCTGCCAGGTACGTTTGACCCCTCTGCCCACTCTATGCTTGTTCTAGCCTAACTGCTCCTGTGGGTCTTTCCCAGCTCCCCTCAGTGAGGCCCTGCTCCTCTGTGGTCCAACTCTCCTGGGGCCATGATCATCCCTGGGGGGAGGAAAAGAGGCCCAAGGTCACGCCTTCTCATGCGTGACACTAAGATCCGTGTGCACCAACTCTGTGCTCATCCACCCCACATATTCTGGTCCCAGGTAAATCAGGTTATATGGGAAGTCAAGGGAAGCCCCAAAGGGGGTTATGGGGGAGGAGGGGTCTACTGCAGGTAACAAAGGCTCTGTTCTGCTCTGTCCCGGGCCGGGATGGATTCTCTTGTACAGGCCCTGGGAATATGTGAGATGGAACTCAGTCAGCCTCTGTCTCCAGCCTGTGCCGAGGGCCCGAGCTTCTGGTGCTCCAGCATCCAGGCTGCCAAGGAGTGCCATGTGAGTACCCCTGCCGCCAGATGGAGAAGCAGGGACAGAGGGGAGTGGGAGGAAGCAAAGGCCTGAGAAGATCCAAGTCAAAGACAGTTAGGAGGATGGGACCATGATGACCCAATCGAAACCCAAGAGGGCCAAAGTCAGATGAACCTGCCCCTGCCCAGCCAGCCTGACCAGGGCTTCTTAGCAAAAGTGCCTACATACCGCAGGAAGACAATCTCTACTGAGGGCCTCTTGTGGTATGAGGAGTACAACAGCTGTGGAGTAAAGGGAGGAGGGGATGGGCTCCCAGTCAGGAAAACCTGAGTTCAAATCCTCCCTCTGATATTTGCTATTTTCATGACCCTGGGTAAGTCACTAAATATCTCAGTTTCCTCATCTATAAAATGATGAAGTCAGACTAGACGGGCTCTTCAAGCACTAACAAGTTCATGTTTCCTGCCTGTTCTCTCTCTTCAACTGAGGCTTGAGATTTAATAAAAAAAAAAAAAAGCCTACCACCATGCCACCCATTATTTTTACTATAAATGGTATGTGCCATGTGACCATGTACTTGCCCTCTGCCTGCTGCCCTCAACTCTTCTCTGGGTTGGTGGCTGTTAAACAGAGGTTGCCCCAAGCAGAAGGCTGATGGTGTCTTTCCATGCTTTTAGGCTGCGCTATATTGCAAAATACATGGGCAGGACTGATGTGTCCTGCAGAGGGACCCAGAGCAGCAATTTCCAGGAAAGAGCCACCCCAGAGCCCAGCGCTCGGGTTAGCCAGAGTCTCGGGAGGCTCCCGGGAACGTCTCCTCCCATGCTCTTCTGACCCACACCCTCCGCCCGATCCCACTGTACTTAGAGGATGTTTCTTAGAATCCTACGTTGGATTCTTTCTCCTTTGCCTGTGCATTTTTTTTTTTTTGGTAATAATGTAGTTTTTATAATCACCTCTAGTCCTGGGGTATGGGGGATGGTGCCTCTAATCCTCTTCAGTTCTCCCTTCTGACCTTGAACTCAAACCAAGACCTCCAGCCTCCTGTAAGTGCCCACAGCACAGGCGTCCCCACCCCACTGCTTCTGCACTCCACCAGCCTTTCCAAGCATCTTTGACCCAGCAGCTGCCTCCAGCACCATCCTTTGTTGGAGGAGAGAGATGACCTGCGTCCCATCACCATCCCTCAAATCTTTTCACTCCATTGTCATATATTAAAAACAAAGGACAAATAAACTTTTGGATTCAAATTCAAATTGCCTGGAAGTTTCCATTTTAATTGTTAATTGGTAGGGCGATAATTAGAGGGAGATAATTAGGAGGGAGAGCTGCCCAGAGATAGCCCATCTAATGTGTAGTCCCATCTGGAGAGAGGACAGCCTGGACCAGGGGTGGGGAACCTTCGGCCTCCAGGCCACACGTGGCCCTCTAGGTCCACAAGTGCAGTCCTTTGACTGAATCCAAACTTCCCAGAACAAATACCCTTAATAAAGGATTTGTTCTGTAGAACCTGGACTCAGACTTCCACATCAGAATGGGTACATGAGGACAACTTATTCCAATGGCCATGAAGGCAGCTGAAGCAGGTGGGGTGGAGCTTGCTCGTCTACTACGGCCCAGACCATTAGCAGTCATCCTGACTTTTGCCTTGCCGCTGGACTTCAATGACTCGGGAAGGGAAAGTAAGGCTGATGACTTCGCAACTCTGCCTCACTTAAATCCACTCCATGCACAAGACAAGCCATCACCCCATGATGTCACTGGTCCTCTTAGAAAACAAAGGACCAATAATTATTAATATGGTAGTACACACATGGGCTATTTGGTGAAGCGGATAGAGTTCCAGGCCTGGAAGTCAGAAAGACATCGTCCTGAGCTCCCATCTGGCCTCAGACACTTAGCAGCTGTGGGATGCAGGGCAGGTCACTTAACCCTGTTTGCCTCAGTTTCCTCATCTGTAAAATGAGCTGGAAAAGGAATGGCAAAGCACTCTGATATCTTTGCAAGAAAACCCCAGATGGGATCACAGAGAGTTGGACACGACTGAAAAAAATGAACAAATGTCCACAAGATTTATAAATGAGTAAATATGAAAAAGAAGGAAATGAGGAGATTGGATTCAATGCCCACTAAAGTCTCCTCTAGCTCTAAGACTATGATAATATATTTGTGGAAGACAGACAGGCCTGGGCTCCTTCCTCTCCTCCCCCCCCCCACCCCAACAATAGTGGCCAATTAACAACGAACAAGATTAAGGTGTTTACACCAATTTGCCAACAGCCACAATACACAGGAAATGAAGAGAGCCTTCAATGAAATAAGGCCTTATCAATCCTAGAGGAGCTGGAAGTAAGCAATCAAATCCTGCCTGAGGCTCGCCGTGATCCCTCCAGGGTTTAAAGGATATAAACTCAGAACCCAGCACTGTTGGAAGCTGGGTTTAGAAGGGCCCGAATAAGCTTGGAGAGCAACCAGAGACAGGTATCCAGGATGAGGAAGGGTCTTCAGTTCGTGCCCCAAGACCAGATGAGTGGGGGGAGGGAAGGGAGTAGACGGGGCACCTTCAGGTCATTGAGTGGTTCTCACTTGGTGACTTGGAAGAAGGGCCCCAGAGATCAGGAGGAGGAGGGGAGGGGGAGAATTGAGAGCTCAACCAGATGAGAACACTTCCTAACCACTGTGGAAGCTGTCCCACTGAGTGGGGAAGGACAAATAATGGTTTCCCTCTCACAATCTTAGGTGCATGTCTGGCCAGGGAATTCCTCTTCTAGATGGACCTGAGTTCAATCAATCAATCAACAAGTATTTATTAGGCACTTACTACGTACGGGCACCAGCTATACAAAGACAAAAGAAAAACAGTCCCAGCCTCCAAGGAGGCAAAAAGTAGAGGTGGCTGGTAACTAGAGGATAGGAAACACTGACCCTGGAGGACCTGAGTTCAAATACAGCTTCATTTACTCACTGTGTGACCCTGGACAAGTCACTTCAGTTGTTTGCCTCAGTTTCTCCAACTGTAAAATAGAGGATAATAGTAGAACCTACTTCCCAGGGTTGGTGAAAGAATTAAATGAGGTAATATTTGTCAAACGAATAGCACATAGTAGGTGCTTAATAAATGCTTCCCTGCCCTCCCTTGAGTAGGGGAGACATACAAGAGGTACAGGGCAAGGAGGAGAAAGGACACAATAGTGGGGGTGGGGAGCAGAAGAGAACCCCTTGAAGGAAAACAGGGATTTCAAGAGGGATGCATGAGGTGAAGTGAGGTGAGGATGAAGAACATTCCAGGTAAGAGATGGAGGAGCAAAGAAATAACTTGTATTCCTACGGCATCAAGCTCATGGGAGAGGAGTAAGCTTGAGAAAGCTGAAAAGGCAGGATGGAGCCAGGCTACGACGGGCTTTAAATACCAGGGGAGTTCATTGTTACATCCTAGAAGGAATCAGGAGCCCCTGGAGCTTGTTGAACTGGGAGGAGACAGGATCATAACCAGATTTCAATGAGTAGAGGGTGATGGTTAGGGGAGGCCACTAGGTGGCGCGGTGGATAGAACACCCATCCCAGAGTCAGGAAAATCAGAGTTTAAATCCAGTCCCAAACTGTCCTAGCTTTGTGACCCTGGGCAAATCACTTAACTTCTGTATGCCTCAGTTTCCTCGTCTGTAAAATTGAGATGCCTCCCAGGGTTGTCAGGAGGATCAAATGAGATAATCATTGTAAAGCACATAGCACAGTGCCTGCCACCCAGTAGGCGCCACATAAATGTTGGCTATTATCTGAGAGATGCTGTGAAGATAGAAATAACAAGATGTGACAACCAGTTGGATAAATGGGGCGAGGGAGAGCGAGGAGATCCTTTCCAACCCCGAGATTCTGTCAATGTAGCCAAGTCCTACGAACTTCAAATGATACACCCACACCTCACACAGACCCAGAGAGGTCAGTGACTAGCTCAATGTCACACAGCCAGTGAGTAGCAAAGCCAACGGTCTCGTTACTTCAACACTGAATGTCAGATCTTAACCGAAACTATGAGGTCGCAGTGAAGACGGGGAGAAGGCACCACAAGCATCCAGTAAACCGGGCGGGGAACACAGGGGTCAATGCCCAGGTGTGACACTGCCATGACCACATTGTCTGGAGGCAAGACCCACATTAATGCAGAAGGCTGGGCTGCAGGGCTCAGGGATGAAGTGTACCTTTCTTTGTACCAAAGCCCCCCACCATACCCTAGTCAACACGTAGTTCAGAGCCCTCCCACGTTAAAATGGGGAGGTAATCGCTTGATCCAGGCAGTGAGCAGACAGCATTGGACTTGGAATAAGGAAAACAGAGGCTTAATTCCTGCCTGAGACACTAGTTGGGTGATCTCTTCTAGCCTCAGTTTCCTCATCTGTAAAACAGAGATAATAGCTACCTCATAATAATGATAGTTTTCTCATAATAATGTTTCCTCATCTGCAATAGAGATAATAGATTCCTTGTAACAATAGCTTTCTCATAATAATAGTCTCCTCGTCTTAAAATGGAGATGATAATATTGCCTATCTCCCAGAATTGTTGTGAAGATAAAAAGGGATAACATGTAAAGAATTTTGCAAACTTTACAATGCTATGTAAATGTTAGCTGTTATTATCACCCAGAGAAGGCTATAAAATCACGTAAGTCAAGGGGTTCGGATTTCCAAGTGCAGTTCCAAAACACCTGTCAATGTGCCAAGGCTTTCAAGAGCAGGCATATCCAGAGCCTCGACGAATTGGCGAGCGGTCACGTTAGAGAAACAATGTGTTCCTTTCTTGTGATACGGGGGTGGAGCACGCTCAGCAACAAGGCTGGATCCTGGGAGACTGCGCCCCACCCCCAAAAGGCGGTGTTCTCGGGGCAGGTGCTCAAAAGTGCAGAGAGAGATGCTCAACTGAAGGGTTTAGACCCGGATCATCGAGCATGTCTAGTCTGAGGCTCCCAAGAGTACTTCGAAGAACCCCAAGCTAAATTAGTCCTTCTAAGAGCTCTCGAGATGATGCAAAGGAACACAGTGTTCCCAAGCCACAAGAAGCTACTCAGAAGTTATGATGTCCCCAAAGGAAGGGAGGAAATCAAAACTTGGGGCATGGGAGTAAATGTGATATTAACTTACAAATGAAGGTGAAATTAAAACTTCACAAAACCATACTTGGGAGCTGTCCCTTGGGGTGAAGTGCTGGGGGGTTGGCATAGACAGAGGCTTGGCCATGGGTTAGAATGGAGGAGGAGGCAGGAGCAAAGAAGAGGCCACTACAGAACTCACGGCACCTCCTCCTCACTTTGACCTAAATCTCCAGGCCTTGGAGATATGGGCAGTGGGCAGAAAGAGGCATCCTATCATCCCCCAAGATACTGAGTCCTGAGAGGTGGAGCACTTCCAGGCTATCTACGATGCCCCATCCGGCGGCAGGCTGAGGACACTGAGTTACCCAGTAGTTCCATGCTGTCTCCCCAGCCTCTCCCCTCTCTCCTCCCAAACTTTTCCTTCGCACTTAATCTGGGCCGAGGGGGCAGGGGGCAATGTAGAACCAGTAGCTGCTTTTGATACCTCCTACAGGCTGAGTCCATATGAACAATGTTCCCACTAACACCCTTCACCACCATGATAAGCAAACACCATACTAATGTTTGACCCAAAGACCAGCCCAGCCCAGTACTCTCAAGCCTGATAATCCCAAATGACTCAGCATGGACTGGACCTGATGGATTCCCTGGTATAGTCTCAGGTCTTTGTTTTTTTAGGCAATTGGGGTTAAGTGACTTGACCAGGGTCACACAGCCAGTAAGTGTCAAATGTTTTGGTCTAATGCCGGATTTGAACTCAGGTCCTCCTAACTTCAGGGCTGGTGCTCTATCCACTGTGCCACCTAGCTGCTCCCTGTCTCAAGTCTTTGTAAAGAACCAGTTTAAGCATTTGTCATTTTGGCTTCCCAGGAACA